ATAATAATAATAATAATAATAATAATAATAATAATAATAATAATAATAATAATAATAATAATAATTGGACTGAGCAATGACCGTCACCTACAGAGTACAGAGTTATGATAAAAGTGCTGAGCGCTGATGCATTATGATTACTCCGCAACCCACGTAATTAAGCCGTACCAACCTCCTCTAGAATCTTGATCGAATTATCATTATCTGGAATCACATCAATCCAAGAAGGATTGCGAATGATCGAGTGTATATTCTATAGTCAATAATATATTGGCACGTCTCGCTAAGACTGGGGGACACATTGATGAGCCTGAGTATTTGTTAATATTTTATCTTTAGTCGACTACTCTCCCACCAGCTGTTCGCAATCGATTGATATAGGGAGGTATTCGGTGTTCTTGGAGCACATACCTCTCTACGTTGTCTCGAAGGGTATGGCTCAATCGTCTGCGGAAATCCCAAGTGTAGAGCTGAATGACGGCGTTAAAATTCCCATTGTAAGTATTCTCCATTGTCTCTTCGCTGCTTTCCACAGTGGAAATCTCCCTTGTCGGATCTGTTAATCTAATTCTCATTATGCCAGCTTGGGTATGGTACTGGCACTGCCTGGTTCAAAGAAGATGGGGCGACAGGCATTGATCGAGAGTTAGTTGAGTCGATCAAGACTGCAATCAAGTTAGGATATCACCACTTGGATGGCGCGGAAGTCTACGGTACCGAACCAGAGATAGGACTGGCCATCAAAGAGAGTGGCGTCCCACGGGAGCAACTTTTTGTGACAACCAAGGTGATCACGAATATTGCGGACATCCCCAGAGCGATAGATGCAAGCTTGGAGAAACTCCAACTCAGCTATGTGGACCTGTAAGTCACACACGTTATCCTCATTGTACACGACTTTCCGTCGACCTACGAGACTGAAACGTTCTATTGCACCTTGCAGATATCTGATCCATTCCCCATTCTTCGCCAAATCGGACAATGAGTTGCAAGAAGCGTGGGCTGCCATGGAGAAGGTCAAGGCCGCTGGGAAGGCCAGGTCTATTGGTGTCTCCAATTTCCTGCAAAATCATCTAGAGGCAATACTCAAATCCGCCAAGGTCACTCCGTCGATCAACCAGATTGAGTACCACCCATACCTACAGCATGCCGGCCTTGTTCCGTTCCAGCGAGACAAGGGAATCAAGACAGCGAGTTACGGGCCTCTTACGCCCATTACTCGAGCAGAAGATGGGCCCCTCGGGGAGCTACTACAAAGTCTCGCCTACAAATACGGAGTCAGTGAAGGCGAGATCCTGCTCAGGTGGTCCATAGACAGAGGGGATGTTTCAATCACGACAAGCAGCAAGGAGTCTCGTCTCAGCAGCTATTTGCGTGCGTTGCTCTTCCGACTGACGCCCAAAGAATTAGACGAAATTTCCGCTATCGGACGTCAAAAACATTACCGGGCATTTTGGAGGGGTCAATTCGCAGATGATGATCGTTCCTGATTTAACGTGTAGCGGCAGTCAGAAGCCTCTCTCCTTCACTGCTCGAGGCAATTACGGCTCGGCTCTGAGGGTATGTACCTGCGATTTGAGTGACGTCTACTTTTGTTGACCCGAGAGCATGCGGTCCGATGTGCGCTCATGGCTGCAGTGTCCCGCTGTGAGGGCATACTCACGTTGACACACTATATATATTATAATGAAAGTTGCCATAAAAAAGGGGGGGGGAAGGGTAAAAATAAAAAATAAAAATCCCCAAGGACCCGGTAGGCCGAGCCCACTTCGGAGCAAAGCAGAGCATATTATTGTCTCCACGCATTCATAAGTTTCAATTAGGCCATCTTTATCATCTCGGCGATATAATCATTAGATTCACAGAGACGGATGTTCCTCTTTCATACTGCCAAGCATCTCCGCACCAGGCCCAACCCAAGGTAGCTCACCAGCGCCGGAGATCATCATCCTTTGAGGAACTACTCTGCCCTCCAATGCCAACCCTTTGTGTCCTCAGATTTGACCTCGATTAGCGGAGTGCATCGGGAGCATTATCCATGGCTCTGGGAGTCTAAAATTACTTTGGCGCGGCATACAGCGTTGCTTGCCAATACAAGTCCCTCTAGATAGCGTTCCCACGCGTTAATCATGCTGGATTAAGCTCCTTCCACTCGTGCTGACCCTGGGAACACAAGGAGAGTGTCTTCCGGACGCATTCGTCTGGGTTGACGGCATCGGTGAGTGCTGGTCCTGTGAATCGCGTTTTCCCTTCAAGCTAGAGTCGCAACCCCATCGTTACACAAGGTTAGCAACAGTTGGACCAAGCCGACAAGACTGAGTGTCGTTTTAGCTTCCTGACGCATTGCCCGAATCTGAAACGGCAGATTAACCTTTCTATGTCCGTCTATCTTTAGACCGCGAGTTTTCCTAAGTGCGATTCCCGAAGAGAAAGGCTCGGAGTGTTTAGCGCCCTCTATAAGACGCTTCAAGAAGAAGCAAGCCGAAACTCAAACAATATCGTCTTCGTCTAGGTCTCGTGCCATCCTCGCACGCAATACATGATTAATTGAGGGACTGCGATGTCGGTGAATCGTCGCCTTACTCTCTCTGTGGACGATGATATGAGCAATTCCAAGTCTGCGCTAGAGCAAACGTCTGCGCCGGAAATAATCTCGGTCGATAAACGACTGGAACGCCTTAAGCAAGAGGTCCTTCCCTTTTATCCTTTCTTGCTCACGCTTCCCACCGATGTGCCTTTCCGTCCTGGTGCCCGATTTATCAACAACTGGGCAGTGGGTGATGACGGGCCTTTCACTCCAGACGAACAAGAACTACAGTACATGACATTTTTGACTCACCAAGACGGTGACTCTTTATTAGTGGCCGTGGGGGATTGGTCAGACGGAACAGGGAACATTATGTCAGACAAGCGCTCAGAGCCTCAAAGTGCGGCAAGCACGCCGTCAGCTGGGTCATTGAAGAAGAAGATCAGCTTGAATGATTACAGGAATAGGAGAAAGAGCGGCGCTTCAGTCTCGCCTATCAATCAAGAGCCAGTTACGCAGACTTCAGCTCCTCATACCTCCGAAGACAGGCGATCAGGGATGAAGGCCACTACGTCCGTGGACCATTCTGGAATACGATCACTCAACTCACTATCGACGAAGTCATCAGTCAGATACCTACCCGAGAGTGTAGGGCGTAAACGGCCACCAGAGCTCGGTCATGTGCATCTAGGGTCACATGAAGGGGAGCAGGCAGATGTAGTTTCTTCAAAGAAAGCGAAGCTTTCGCCMAGGATGATCGAGAGCAAGAATTCTGAGTCCTCGAAGACCAACGGGCTGCCTGATCTACTATCACCAACTTTACCACCCACTTCAGACAGCCCCAAATTACCCAGGCTATTGTCACCAACTCTTCCGCCTGATATCGAAAAAGAGCTAGCGAGACTTGATGAAAGCCGCTCAGTGTCAAGCTCGTTCAAATTATTAAAGCATCTTGAATCTGCACCGTCGAAGGAGAGTTTGCAGAGCCCGAAGCCGCATGACCACAGCAGACTGCAGCCATACGCAACGACTGGACCTAGCTTGCATGGTAGAAGCCTGAACTCGACGGCCGATAAATGCATAGCTACTCCCATAGATTCTAGGGGCTCTGATTTCGGTGACGCACCAAATCTTGACTTGCGATCTCTTAGAGGTGATCAAACGCCACCATCCACAGATACCAAAGAAAGTATGGCATTGAAGCCGCGGCTGGTGGTAAAACTGAAATATGGAAGATCGAATAGGAAGCGCATCGAGGCTCTCTTGAAATTTTCTGCCAAGAGGAAAGCAGCTCTCACATCTTCACTCATTAACCAGCAAGGGGATTCCGAGAAAGCCCGAGCGCCCAAAGCTCAG